AAGATAGGCACAATGCAGCAGAAAGATAAAAGCCCAATGTGCTCTGACTAGGATTGGCAGGGAGGATTTCTCCAGGATCCAACAGCAAAAAGAAAAATCAGGATTTTTCAGCTGAGCTAGGGTGAAACAGCTGAAACTTCCCTTCCCCTTCCTTTCCTCCCCTTTTCCTTTCCTTTTCTCCCCTTCCTTTCTCTCCTTCCTGTTTCATTTTCTTCTGTTTATCCTCCCTTTCTCTCTCTCTTCTTTCTTTCTTTTTTTCTCTCTCTCTTCCTTCCTTCCCTTCCCTATCTCTTCTCTCCCTCCCTCCCTCCTTCTTTTCATCTCTTCCTCTCTCCTACCCTCCCTCCCTCCCTCCCTCCCTTCCTTTTCTCTTTGGCTTCTCCATTGTTTTCCTTCCTGCAGCCACAGATGGCAATATCTAATGGGCCAAGAATGGAGGTGGATAAACTAGCATTTCGCCCCCAGAACAGAAGCCCTGATTTGCTATTGCAATTTAAAGACAATCAAATAAAAGCCAGATATCTAGTTACTAAGAAAAAGGGAATTTGGGCTCCAATATTGCAACATGAAAAAAAAATGGTGATTCTCATTTTTCTTTCATGGAGCAATTTCCAGGTAGGGGGAAAGTTTTAAAATTATATTTTATTTTTGAGAGAGTGGACAGCCCAGACAGACCACATTAATAGTCTCTTGCTCCTGAACAAGAGAGATATCATTCCTCATTTCTATGCCAACTGCTCTTCCTCTAACAGTAGTTAGTCTAAGCAGCTTTCTAGTCCTCATTGTGCCTCTGTGTCGTTTCCTATAACCTAAGGAAGCTTCTTCCCTAAGAGGATTTCCTCTCATGATTTCCAACATTCTCTGATCCCACATTGGCAATGCTGCCATAATCAAGAGGATGGACATCTGGAATGAAGAATCAATGTTTAATAATCCAAGTCAACCGTGTTTTTTGCTGGTGTTTTTGCAGGGACCGGTTGGTTGGATGGACCCTGAAGGAATCTTCCACTATGTGAAATGCTTTTGCTGTAACTCAATAATTGACCATGGGGTGTTTGTCTTCCTTCCTTCCTTCCTTCCTTCCTTCCTTCCTTCCTTCCTTCCTTCCTTCCTTCCTTCCTTCCTCCCTCTCTCCCTCCCTCCCTCCCTCCATCCATCCATCCATTCACCTATTTTTCCATCCTACTATCTATCCACACATCCCATCCAACTTTCCATCCATCTATCCTCCCTCCTCCCTCCTTCCCATCCATCCATCCATCCATCCACCCACCCATCCATCCATCCATCCATCCATCCACCTTTCTTTCCTTTCTTCCATCTGCCGTCCTTTCATCCATTATCCATCCACCCAACTTTCCATCCTACTATCTATCCATCCCATCCATCCTTTCATCCATCCATCCTTTTCTTTCTTCCATCCATCCATTATTCCATCCTTCCATCAATCCCTTTCTTTCTTCTCTCCACCATCCTTCCAGCCATTATCCATCTATCCCTTCCTTCCTTCCTTTCTTCCATCCACCATCCTTCCATCCATTATCAATCCATCTATCCCTTCCTTCCTTTCTTTCTTTCTTCCATCCACCATCCTTCCATCCACTATCCATCCACCCATCCCTTCCTTCCTTTTCTTTCATCCACCATCCTTCCATCCATTATCCATCCATCCATCCATCCCTTCCTTCCTTCCTTCCTTTCTTCCATCCACCATCCTTCCATCCATTATCCATCGCTCCATCTATCTATCCATTCATCCATCTCTTATTTCCACCCACCCACCCATCTTTTTTAAGCCATTAAAGAAGAAGAAGCAGATGAAAAACTCTTCACACATTAAGTTGGGAGATATAAAGAAAGATTATGTGATTATTTTTTTTTTGCAAGTAGGGGAAAAAAAACAACGCTGCCACTACCAGCATTCTTAAATGAGGGAGAACCTTGTTAGAATATTTTATTTAGTAGCTAGAACAGTAAAATGTACAATAGACCAGAACAGACAGTTGTAGTTGATTGACAGGAGAGTGCTGGCTCCTGCGTGAGGCAATCTACTCTATGATTGGCTGCTGTAGGTGTGAAGGGGGCGTTCCCCTTCTTTCCCGCCTTTTTTCTTCTGTGTGTTCTGTATGTTGCTAATTTTACCTCATGAAGTTCTGTGTACCTGACTATCTTACGTTCTTCCTTTTCTGGATGACAAAAACTACTGAAAATTAGAATGTTAAAACACATTTATATTTACATAAAAGACTACAAGTTTGTGTCTGTGTCTCCGACTTCATCTGGACAGCTGCTGCGCAGTTACATGACAAACTTTCTACCTGGTGGCCCCCAAAAACTGTCACTAAATATGCTGGGGGGTAAAGTGTTGTAATTTGAGGGAATCCCCTTTATTTACCCACCGGAGAAGATATTTGAACATGGACAGGCAAACTGGACCTCATCGTGTAGGGAGTTTGCAAAGTATGGTCAAAAAGTCAAGCTGCAATGCACATAAAAATAGTTGAGGCTTCGATTGGACCATCCGAGTCACCATTTTGCCTTTTTTGACCTTATCCTGTGGACCTCTTCCCATGCTTCTGTGTGCAGCATGTCGGGACTCACCCTCTCCCCCAATATTCGAGCAGCCGGGTTTTAAAAGGAGGCAGATAAATAAGAAGCAACACATTGTTTAATTTTTAAAAAAAATTACAAAAAAGATGTCAGGGCTTTGGAAAAAAAACTGCAAAGAAGAGCAACTAAAATGATTAAGGGCTTGGAGATGAAAACATATGAATAACGGTTGCAGGAATTGGGAATGGCCAGTCTAGAGAAAAGAAGAACTAGGGGGAACATGATAGTATTCCAATATTTGGGAGGCTGCCACAAAAATGAGGGGGTCAACTTATTTTCCAAAGCACCTGAAGGCAGGACAAGGAACAACGGATGGAAACTAATCAAGGAGAGAAGAAACCTGGAATTAAGGAGAAATTTCCTAACAGTGAGCACAATTAACCAGTGGAACTGCTTGCCACGAGAGGTTGTGGGTGCTTCATCACTGGAGGTCTTTAAGAAGAGACTGGACAGTTATTTGTCTGAAGTGGTCTCCTGCTTGAGCAGGGGGTTGGACTAGAAGACCTCCAAGGTCCCTTCCAGCTCTATTCTGATTGATTGATTGATTGAGTTAAACTTTGGAAAATTTCAGATTGAAGCAAAGAACAATTTTGAGCTGTTGCCAGATGGAGCTTCACATGTCCTAAAGTAGAGGTCCCCAATTCCCAAGCCGTGGCTCATTACTGGGCCTTGAATTGCTCAGAACCGGGCCACGGAAGTGGCGGGCAAGTGCATGCATGTGCATCCCCACTTGTGCGAGCAGCAGCCAAGTGTACGCGTGCATGCTCCATTTGTGCGATGGGCACGTATGCCTGCTGCTCATGCAAATGGAGCTGCATGCACACGCTTGCTCGCCGTTCACATGGAACCATCCCCTCTCCCCTTTTCCCCATTGAGGCGCAAATTTGGAAAGTTTGGGGAACTCTGTCCCAAAGAACCAAGCGCCCCCTTGGATTCTGTAAACTGAGCCAGGAAGTTGTAGCCATTGACTGCTACAACTGACAGCTGCACAGAGGCATGAGCCAAGGGACATAGGTTATGCCTGAGTGTGCAAAGGGCGTGCTTACACGTGCAAGGGTGGAAGTTGGCCAGATGCTCGCCCCTTTTGGTCATTCCTATTAAAGGAGACTGCATCAAAGCATGAAAACTGAGAGGTTGCTCCCAGTGTCTCCTTTGTGCACTTCTTAAAGACACAGTTCTGGAGTGGGATGCCCCAGACTGGTGTCTCTTTTTGCCTTGGTAACTATGAATATCTCCAAAGTGGTCTGCTAGAGAAGATAAGAGACCATCTATGAGCACAGACTGCTGATTGAATATCTTTGAATCTCTCCAATGGAGTAGTCTGCTAGAGAAGATAAGAGTCTGTCTATAGGTAGAGCCTGATGGTTGACCTGTTTCTGTATTTGAAGGAGACACTTTTTGTGTTTGAAGGGGCCACTCCCAGTTTTAATTTCTCTGAGTCCTGTTGTTTTAAGAAAAATAGGGTAACTCACACACACAAGAGGAGGAGGGGGTGGGAGAGGGAGAGGGGAGGGGGAAAGGGAGAAGAAAGAGGAGGAAGAGGAAGAGGAAAAGAAAGAAAGGAGGAGGCGGAAGACGAAGAAAGAAAAAAGGAGAAGGAAGAACTGGGAAGGAGGGAGGGAAGGGGAAGAGGAAGAAGAGGAGGAAAGCGGGGGGGGGAAAGAAAAATGATAGGGGAGAAGGATTCCACTTGTTAAATTTCTGCGTGTTGCCTTTCTGTTAGCAGCTAAGCCACCAGACTTACGTCTCAATTTTCATGCTTTGATGCCCACCAGTTTCATGCTAGTAAATTCTGGGTTCTAGAACAGTATACTTCCAAACACTTCGAATTCCACCAGAGTCTTTGGCAAAGCATTTGGCTTCCTGGCTGGTTGCCAACATCCTTTCCACAAAGAAACTCCTCGGCTATCACCAGATGAACAACTCATCTCAACATGGGGCAATTGGAAACCTGGAGCCCCAATATTTAAAATTTGCCTTGTCAAGGGATAAATGTTCATCCTTTGCAGCTTATCTCCCACCACACGACCAAATATGCCTTTAGGTCCCCATTAACAGCCCAATGCTCTGCCCTATTCTTATCTCTAGCTACAACAGCTGTCCTTTGCTTCACACCCAGCTGTTCAAAAGAACCAACTTTGGCTGGAGGCAAAATCTTATGAACAGCTCTTGGAAAAAAGTTCCTGAAAACCCCTCAAAAGAAGAATCTGCTCTCTTGGTTTCCGGGAAATTAATCTCTGACCGGCCGAAGAACATCACCAACTTCCTCAATTCATTTGGAGCAGCGAGTGCCAATTTGTGCTTCCATCACCCTTGAGGACTAGAATCTTTAAAAATCTACCCCCCCAGGGGAGAAACAGAAGAGAAAAAGAGCTTCCCAGCCCACTTACCTGGTTGAGTCCTAACAAGTTGCCTTCCAGATTGGATGTGATGCCAGAAAGAATGGCAGTGCCCACCACGGCACCCAAGCACTGCGCCACGATGTACATGACCGCCCGGAGAATGCTGATTTGGCAGCTGAGCAGAAGACCCAAGGTCACGGCTGGGTTCAAGTGGGCTCCGCTAATGTGACCCACGCTTTGGGCCATGGTGGCGATGGAGATGCCAAAAGCCAAGGAGACCTTCACGTTGTCTTGAATGGGTGTGATGGTCTTGTTGGCCACCAAGGGGAATTGGAAACCCAAGGCTGAGCCGATGCTGATGAAGATGAAGAGACTCATGGCCAAAAATTCGGCCACGACAGCTCTCCAGAATGCTTTCTTCTTTAATTCACTAGCCATGATGTTCTTCCTTCTCTGTCTTCTTCTTCTCTGTCTTCTTCTTCTTTGCCCTTTTCTCCTTTACTTTCTCCCCTTCTCTGAGTCCTCTTCTAGCGTCCTCAGCTGGCTTCCTGCTGCCTTAAAAACTGGGAAGTGAGAAAGACAGGAGAAGACGAATTATTTATAGGGTTCTGGGTGGCCAGGAGGAGGGAAGGGTGTTGTACAATGAGAGGAAAGAACCTCAAGCTTACTGCTCACTGTTAAACTGATGCAAAGCACCATCCGTTGCTTGCCAATTTTTTTCCCTCCCTCTTCCCTTAGCTTCTCCCACCCACAAAACTTTTACTCCTTCACTTCTTCCTGTGCAGACTCCGTTCTTTGCGGTGGCTGCACCATTCTCCTTTTTTGAATAATTCCTGATTAACCAGCCACCACCATGGCTCATATTCAGGGTTTTTAACACCTTTTCCTCATCTTGCACAGATGCAAATACAGAAACCGGCCACAATTAAAGCCCTTTTTGACTTTCTTGACCAGAACTGCCCTAGCTGAATTTTCTGGAAATGTTTGCAAGTGCTTAAGACTCCCTTGCAAGGACCATAAAGAAAGTGGGGGGTGGGGGTTTCCTGATCTTTAATTTTTTTTTTAAAGCAGAGGTGTAACAACCAAAGAGAGAGTGGTTAGTCCTTCATTTTTGCAGCCCATAAGGGAGATAGCAGCCTTTTCTGATTGTGCTTTTTAGAAGTTGTGAACTTGTGATAATTTTTTTCTCCCTCTGGATAAATGGTTGTTAGGAAGCTGATCCCACAAAGGACAAGTTTGCACAGTCTGGGAAACAGGAAAACATAGCAGAAATATATATATATATATGATTTTTTTTTCCTGTTAAATGCCAGCAAAAGAAGTGGGAACTTCCACTTGGAAAGCGACTCCTATCAGCTTCAGCTCCTGAGAGGCTGCCATAGAAACCTCAGCCTTGAAGCTCACTCCTGGAATTTGGCTCACTCCATTTAAACTTTTTGAGTTTTATCTCAGATTCCTTCAGTAGCTTGTCTCTGAATGGCTTTTTTCGAGCCCAACTTGGTGACAGCAGATCTAGACTTGGGATATATTTTATTTGTATCTGGCATTCCTTCTGGGTGAGTAGTCTCCACGGAGCTGAAATAGCTTTAGCAGTCCTGCCTAAGCCGTGACTATATTCAGATTTATTGTAGACGTTTGGAAGCTTTATTCGAACGACCTGCTGAAGAAGAAACTGCGTTTTTCTTCACCCGTCCTGTCTCTTCCCTACAAATATTTGTACGTTTTCGTGAAACTCCACTCCTCCTCAAATTAACCTTCAGAGTTAGCTATTTGGCACAGATCAAGCTGAAATTGCTTGGATAACACGATGTGAAATTCAGGAAAGCAAGAATAAGAAGACTTACAGTAAGTTTTATATCGACAGTGAGAACAATGGGCCAGTGGAACAGCTTGCCTCCAGAAGTTGTGGGTGCTCCAACACTGGAGGTTTTCAAGAAGAGATTGGACATGGTATAGGGTCTCCTGCTTGAGAAGGGGGTTGGACTAGAAGACCTCCGAGGTCCCTTTATTCTCTTTTCTGTTATTTTTAAGTTATTCTGCACTGTAACAGCACTTGATATAGGGCAGGCGGAGGAGCTAAGAAAACTTTTCTGCTGGAAGCAATTTCAACCCTGGAAGAAAAAAAATAAATAAAAAAAAACTTAAAATAGTGTGTAGAGCTGTTTTCCATCACCAGGGACTATACAATTACAGACCAGGTTTCTACATCAAAAGGGAAGGAAATTCTATAGATGGTACAGTAAGTGTCTATTTAGAAAAAATGTACAAGACAGCTTCTAAATGTATTTATGGTCCAGGCCTTGATATAAAATGCTCCAAGTAATATTTTAGAATTTGATATGTCCTTATATCTATGAGCAATACGAAATGTATTTCTCTCCCATAGCAACGCTGCAAGGGAGGCCGGTGTGGAAGAGAGGGATGGGGTACAAGTCAGCCGGTGAAATTTCATGGTCCAGCAGGGTTAAGCAGGGGTGAAATCCAGCAGGTTCTGACAGGTTCTGGAGAACCGGTAGTGGAAATTTTGAATAGTTCGGAGAACTGGCAAATACCACCTCTGGCTGGTCCCAGAGTGGGGTGGGAATGGGGATTTTGCAGCATCCTACCCCTGCCACGCCCACCAAGCCACGCCCACAGAGCCAGTAGTAAAAAAAATTGAATTCCGCCACTGGGACTAAGTAGTCCTTGATTACTTAGATTACTTAGACTACCACAACTGAGAAGAAAAATTTTCATTGCTAAGCAAGACAGTTGTTAATTGAGTTTTGCCTCATTTTACGACCTTTCTTACCACAGTTGTTAAGTGAAGTACTGCAGTTGTTAAGTTAGTAACACAGTTGTTAAGTGAATCTGGCTTCCCCAGTGACTTCGCTTGTCAGAAGGTCGCAAAAGGGGATCGTGTGACTCTGGAGATGCTGGAATTGTCATAAAAAGAAGTCAGTTACCAAGCATCTGAATTTTGATCACATGACCATGAGGATGATGCAAAATGGTGGTAAGTGTGAAAAATGGTCATCACATCAGTGATTTTTTTTCCAGTGCCATTGTAACTTTGAACAGTCACCAAATGAATGGTTGTAAGTCGAGGACTACCTGTAACCAAACTAAATCTCTTATTGTTAGATATCTCTCCTACATTCTTTGCAGAGCTTCCCAAGCTCAATGCAATATACATTTTTTCCCATTTCCTTTGCAATAACAACAACCTTTTGAGGTAGTCTGAGATGAAAGAGCAAGACTGGGACAAAGTCCAACCCTGGAAGCTTCTTATGGTGGAAGAGGATTAGAACCTGGATCTCCATTCCTCCTCCTCCTCCTCCTCCTCCTCCTCCTCCCATATTTGACTCCTGGCTAAGGAACTCTGGGAGCCTTAAAATCACCAAGGTTGGAGACCTCTGACCTAGCTGGCTCCATGCCTAAAACAGGACTAGGACTAGAGTCTCCCTGTGATTCTAATGCACTCCAAAACTTGACATTCATCCATCACCATGGAACTCATATCCAAAAAATGCAGAAAATCCTTTTTGCTCTTTGTTGGACCTCCTTGTAGCACCGGTTGTTTGTTGTTGTTTTTTTCCTCTTAACACACACAAACACACACACTTAAAGTCATCTCCTTGAGCAATGTTTTGCTTAAGTTGTGTGTATGATTTGTACTTCAAACTCTGAAGCATGCCCAGCCCAGGATCTTCCTCAATTGAGATTCCTCAAAATCTCACAATTTGTTCACAATTTTTTAGAATCTCTAAGGTAAAGGTAAAGGTTCCCCTCGCACATATGTGCTAGTCGTTCCTGACTCTAGGGGGTGGTGCTCATCTTCGTTTCAAAGCCACAGAGCCAGCGCTGTCCAAGGACGTCTCTGTGATCATGTGGCAGGCATGACTAAACGCCAGAGGTGCACGGAACGCTGTTACCTTCCCATCAAAGGGGATCCCCATTTTTCTACTTCCATTTTTTACGTGCTTTCAAACTGCTAGGTTGGCAGAAGCTGGGAAAAGTAACAGGAGCTCATCCCGTTACACGGCACTAGGGATTCGAACCGCCGAACTGCTGACCTTTGATCGACAAGCTCAGTGTGTTAGCCACTGAGCCACCACGCCTCTAGCACAATATTTAATACTGGATAGCAGTTATTCTGTCCCACATCAGAAAATTATTAATCATAAATACATGTTTTTAAATTTAAATATGGTCCAAAGGGCAGTTATACATATTTGTTTAACATCTGCACTGTATCAAATATATAGATTATGCAGGATATATAAAAAACTCACAATGCACTATAATCAAGCCCATGGGTATTGATATGTTGCTGAAAATTGTTTGAGAATCAATGTCCAATGGCTGAACCGGACGGGTGTGTCTGATTTTGGCAAGACCTTGCGTTGGCAGATGTATTCTGGTGCTGTTTTTAAAAGATTTTAAAGCTAGTAGCTTTAAAAAGAAGAGAAAATACTGAGAGCGAGTTTGGTATAATGGGAAGGTATTGGCCTAGAAATCAATACGCAGTGAGTTCTAGTCCTGCTTTAGGCACAAAGGGATGACTTTAAGTTAATCACCAGAAGATGATGAGTTCTAGTTCCACCTTAAGCATGAATGTCAACTAGATGACTTTGGCTCAATCATCAAGAGACTGTGAGTTCGAGTACTGCCTTAGGTATTGAAGGAAAACAATAATAAGAATATAATAAATAATACTAGAATATGATATACTGGTATACTATTCTGTAACCATTAGGTTCCTGTAATACATATATGCCTTTGTATTTCTATCACATATATTATGCCTTTATATTTGTATCTCCTGTAACAAACATATTCTGTTATTAGGCCTCTGTAATGTATCTGGTATTTGTCAAACATATGTCCCTGCCATTTGACCTGAACACATATCAATCTTCTTCCTGTTTTTCTTGTGCCATCTAAAAGCATGGTACGTATCTCAGTTGAAACTACAGCCATCAACAAAGGGATAATTTACACCTCAGCCTAATTTATGTTTGATCTGGATAAACTCCTGTCTTCCAGAGCCAGGGGCTAAGTGGCCAATTGAGTAAACAAAGAAATGCTTAAGATAATACTAATTGTGGAAGTTTCTATTCCCCCTTGCAGGGCAACAAGGAATACACAAACCTAAATTAGGAGGCCAGAATTGGGTACTAAGTTGACGTCTCTGAGGGTATAAAAGGACACCATACCTTCCCCAAGGTGTGGCCATCTCCTCGCATGCATTGTATCTGTATGTTCTGGATATAGTTCCACCCAGTATTTTGTTTTTGGCCATAAATAAAATCTGTTTTTTTGCAAGCCTCGTCTTGAGTCTCTCTCTTTGGCATTCTGGTGACTCAAGTGTATTTTGGGACCTTACATTTCAAATATTGGCTGGGAAACTTTGGGCCAATCACCAGGAGATGGTGAATTCTAGTCCCACTTTAGCCATGAAAGCCAGCTGGGTGACATGAGATGGTGAATCCTAGTTGGGCCAATCACCCCATGCCCTGAGTACCCTAGGCAATGACCAGAATAACCACAACAGAAACTCATGTTCATTTCAAGTAAACATATTCTTTTAGTTTTGCAAGTTAAGTGAGTTTTACCCCATTTTGCAACCTCCCTTGCCACAGTTAAGTGAATCATTGGAGTTGTTAAATTAGTCACACACTAGTTAAGTGA